AGCATTTGCATCCAAGCTATATCGAGGGCCTACAGCTTCCATTGTTCGATTGCAGGCAAGAAGACAAGATCGGAGCCGGTGGAGTGACTTGGGAGCTTCTGGCGAGATCAGGTCTGGCAGGCAGACCTTGAGCTTCAGCTATCATGTTCCAGGCTTGTATACAAGTGGTGTTTCTGAATGGTGGTGCTTCATTGCTCTCTCTCTGTAAAGACAGGTGCCTTTTGGAACTGCTAGGGAGGGAGGCAGGAGGGCCCAGAGCCAAATAATTCTGGGTTCTGCACCATTCTCCTCCATGCTGAGTTCTGCAGGGACTTAGGAGGTGGAAGATGACAGCCAGTGGTACCCCCTGGGATGGCTGCTAGGAATAAGGCGGGCATGAATGGGTATGGCTGAAGGTGGTCTGGGGTTGGTGGGGCAGTGCCCCATTTCCCCCAGTGGACTAGCATTTCATTGTAGAGAATTTGTTTCATCCATGGATGAGAACATGCTCTCCTGCACATTTCATTGTGACACCTTCAGCTCCTTTGGATGTGAGATTCAGTGAGGTGCTCTGCTCCAAGAGTAGCACATGAGTGTTGGCATGCAACCAAGGAAACGGGGGCAACTGGCAGGCCCCCAGCTGGCTCCAGCCCACTGGCCAGTGTGCCGGACGAACTCCAGTCCTTGGTGCAGCATGAATCTACGACCCAGAGCTTCAGAAGCGAGGGCACGCTACTCAGCAGAGTAACCACTGCTCAACACAAGTGGCAGGAGAGGCTGTGTGAGCGTATTTACAAGCAGTTTATTCAGCGTGCATCAGGACAAAAGGAAACATGTCTGATCTCCTTCGTGTCCAAAGAAAGACAGCTAAAGCAAAAGCTATACACAAACGGAAGTTCCCAGCAAGCTGTGCTGGAGTGTAAACATACATGTGACACACAATAATCAGGCCTGTTCCTTAAGGTGGAACGGAATATCCCAACATTGAGATGCCCTCCAGATGTTGTGGACTACAACTTCCACCAGCCTCTGCCAGCATGGCCCAATGGTAAGGACCGATGGGAACTGCAGTCTGAGGGCACCTGGTTGATTACCCCTGCTCCACTCTGAAATAAATTTATTCATTCATTTGTTTATTTGTTTAATTTACGCACCGCCCTTCATCCAAAGATCACAGGGTGGATTACAATGTAAAAATACAAAGATATATAGCATTATAACAAGCAACAACAAGAAGAAAAATCCCACAGTTTAAAAGGCCATAGCTTGTTGCCTATAGGCCTGGGAGAAGAGGAATCTTTTTTGACTGGCACCAAAGATATGTATGAAAGTGCCAGGTGAGCGTTCCTGGAAAGAGCATTCCAAAAGTGGGGAGCCACCACAGGAAAGGCCCTTTCTCATGTTGCCGCCCTCTGTACCTCCGTGGAGGAGGCACATGAAGAAGGGTCTCAGATGATGATCGCTAGTCTGGGATGGTTCATATGGGGAGATGCCGTCCTTGAGATATTGCAATCCTGAGCCATTTAAGGCTTTATAGGTCAAAACAAGCACTTTGAATTGGGCCCAGAAACTAACTGGCAACCAGTGCAGTCAGAATAATATGCTCAAACTGGCTTGTTCCTGGTTGAGCAACCTGGTCCCTGAATTCTGCACCAGCTTGAAGCTTCCAAATTGTCTTCAGGGGCAGCCCCATGTATAAAGCTTTGCAGTAATCTATCCTAGAGGTTGGTTGGATAGTGTTTTCGAGGTTACCAGCATGAGTTTGACCAAACTGCGGGAGGTAGTGGAGGACAGAGGTGCCTGGCGTGCTCTGGTCCATGGGGTCACGAGGAGTCGGACACGGACTAAACGACTAAACAACAACAACATCCTAGAGGTTACCAGACCATAGGTGACCAGATAGGTTGCAGCTGGGCCACCAGCCAAAGCTGATGGAAGGACTCCACACCACCGAGGCCACCTGAACCTCAAGCAACAGCAATGGGGCCAGAATTGCCCCCAAGTAGTGTAGCTGCTCCTTCTGAGGGTGTGTGACCACATCAAGAGGATGGGTTGAAGGTTGCCTGCTCCTGATGGGGGTTACACTCCCTCTGAAGGAGCAGCTACACAACTTGAGGTCCTTCTGGCCCCATTGCTGTTGCTTGAGTAGTTTTGTCCCTGTGACTCTGAATAAATATAATTAGCAAGCCATACCTTTTGTTTCATAAGGGATCTCTGGAAAGCATTGACTGATCAAGTTGCCATTTCGGCAACGCGGAAGATCATCTGCATATTTGCACCTTCCTCATTCTCTCTGGTACAGAGAAGATAATTGCAGAAACTGGAGCTAAATTTCTGCTGAGGCCACTGATGGCGTGAGCTAAGGTGCCTTCCAAATAAATGTAACCACATACAGTATCCCTATCTGCCCATAGAGTTATGTGATCCTGTATCTCATTTTTGCCTGTAAATGGGTGCAGAAGTCTCTCCTGTGAGGCCTGTTGGCTGGTTGGGTGGATTGATCAAAATGGTCCTTCTTTACTACTCCCTAGCAACAAATAAACACTTGCAGCGTAGTCAGCAGAGCTTTTATTGACCAGCATCTGCTTGGGTGTGGTGACGTGGACACACAGCTATTTTTAAATTCCCTCTTCTCCCAGCGAAATCAGAGGGAGGGCAATTTCTTGCATCAGGTCTAGAGCTTGTGTCAACTGTCCTGCTAAGAGGGTCCTGGTCGCAGGCTGAAGGGCTATCGGTCCTCAGCTGTGCCCTCCTCATTCCACCCACGACTCCACCCCATCTTTGCTCTTCCGAGACAGAGCATTTGCTGCCTTCCACCAGACTAAAGCATTTTCCACCAGGTGCTATGCCTTCCTCTAGTTTGACATATAATCAAAGAATCATAGAATTGGAGAGTTGGAAGGGACCTTGGGGATCCTAGTCTAATCCAATTCCCTGCAATGCGGGAATATGCAGCCATCCCATAT